CGTTTGCCCTAGTTGCTGAGCTCGTCGACTTCGCTGCTCGCTGTCGTCTAGACTACGCTGCTAGTCTTGTCGCTGAGTCTGAGTCTATCTGTCCTCCGTCCGTCGGGGTTGAGTGTGCCCTTGGCACGGACGTCCTTGAGGACAGGCAGGAGGAGTTCCAGTGTTTGGCTGCTGCTTCACCTCATCTCGTGTCCGTTATGCTTACCCCTGAGGAAGACCCGGATGCACTTGACATCCCGACTCCGCGCTCTTACGCGGAGGCGATAGAGGGTCCCTACTCCTCTCAATGGCAGGCAGCTATGGACACAGAGATGGCTACCCCACTCAATGGTGTCGAAATTGCCTTCGTGTAGCCATTGCCAAACCTCTGCTGCACCCTGCTGCAATATTTCTGCTGGTATAGGAACATCTTCCTCTCCTCCTTACGTTGCTCCAGATTCATGCCGAGAAAGAGTGTGGTCCTCGGAATCTGCTTCACTTGAAAATAATCCGCAAGATGAGCACACACCTTCTCTACCTCCTCCTCTAACGCCCCTGCCACCAAGATGTTGTCCACGTATAGCACCAAGAACACCTTCTCTTTCCCTTCTCCCTTCCAGTAGAATGCCCTATCACACTCGCTTTTCTGGAATCCCCCTTGCAGTAGCCGCTCATCCATCGCCATATACCACTCCCTAGGACTCTGTTTCAGCCCATATAATGCCTTGTTGAGCTTGCATTTTCAGCCCGAGCCGTTGTCATGCCCTGGTGGTTGCTCGAGGTAGATGTCCTCCTTCAACACCCCATACAAAAACACGTTTTTAATATCCAGCTGCACCATGAAGTATTTTCTTGCTGCTACCACCTTGAGAAAAACCCGCGCCGTTGCCAACTTGCTCACTGGAGCATAGATCTCATTTTGTTGGTAGTCTTTCCCCTCCACTTGAGTGTAGCCCTTGGCTACAAGCCTTGCTTTGAACCTTTCCAGCTGCCCCATATCACCGGTCTTGATTTTTTAAATCCACTTCACTCCCGCGGCTATCCTCCCTTCCAGCATAGGTAGTAGCTCCCATGTGCCCCTTTTAGCCAATGTGTTCAACTCCTCCTCAATTGCCGCTTTCCACTGCGCCCTTTCTGGACCCTCTAGCGCCTCCTTGATGCTCACTGGTTCTTTGGGCAGGTTGTGTGTCACTTTTCCTTCATTGGAGACTAGGTCAGTAGCTGTGGCAGAGAGTAGGAGGTGGGTGTGGATGTCCTTCCAACACGTCATCAGCAGTTGCGCATACCGAGGGTTTGGTTTCTTCACCCTCTTTCCTTTCCCCAACTCCTCTGCAGGTGATTCAGCCTCATCCTCACTGGAATCCGCCAGTGCTTTCCCTTCTCCATTCTTCACTTCCCTTCCAATCACGATGGCGCCCTCCTCAAGTAATTCCTCTATCTCCCTCATCTTGACATTGCTGTCATCACTGTTTAGAAGCTTCCATGGATCACTATCTCCTTCAGCTGCTGATTCTTCATCTCCTTCTCCAACCACCTCTTCATTGCCACCCTCGGCTACTTCATTGCTTGGCTGCTCCCCTGCTATCTCCACTCCATTGGTTTCATCTGCTTCACTGGTTGGTGCCTTCTCCCACACCCAATCAACTGAATCTGCCCGTTCCACATCTTCAAGTTCCTCATCTCCTTCATACCCAGCTCCCTCACTCTCCTTTTCCTCCAAAAGATCCTCCACCTTGTCTGGTGCAGTTGCTGTCCTTGCTGCTGCAATCTCTTTCTCTACTCCCTTCCACTGCAGGTAGTTCACCTCCTCGTAGAAGACAACATCCCGGGTGATCGTGACTTTTCCTGAAATTACATCCTTGATCACCCACCCCTTGCTCACTGGGCAGGTACCGAGGTTAATCCCCCAATGAGCCTTGGGCAGCAACTTATGATCCGGACCAGCTGGCTCTCTGTATTGCACCATACTCCCCCACACCCGTGCAAACCCCAGATTCGGCTTCCTGCCATAGAAGGCCTCGTGGGAAGTCATATCTGCCCGAAGTCCCTTGGTAGGTAGGCGGTTCTTGGACCAGCACGCCATTGCCTATGCATCACCCCAGAACTTCAGTGGCAGCCCACTATCTGCCAACATGCTCCTCACACTATCCAGTAGAGAACGGTTCACCCGCTCCGCTATGCTATTATGCTGTGGAGTGTAGGGTACAGTCAGCTGCCGTCGGATGCCCTTACTCAGTAAAAACTTGTTGAACAGGTCCCCTGTAAACTCCCCACCATTATCTGTCCTCAAAACTTTTAACACATTCCCACTTTGCCGCTCCGCTTCCGCCATCCAAGTCACGAAGCTAGGAAACACTTCTGCCTTATCTTTCAGCTCCGTCACCCTTGTGTGCCTTGTTCCCAAATCAGTGAAGGTAACAAAGTAGCGGCTGCCGTGACGTGACGCCACCCTCATAGGCCCACACACATCGGCTGCTACGATGTCCAAGGTGCCATAAGGCTCATGTACCTGGTGGTGGGGGTGAGGGGACTTCGTGATTTTACCTTCAACACACTTGCTGCATTTTCCCTTGCTTCCAGCCCCCTCCTTCAGTGCCACACCTTTTACCATGCCCTTTTTTACCAACTCTTTGACCCTATCCATGCTTGCATGCCCCATGCGCCTGTGCAAGGTCTCCAATTCCACCTTCTCCATCCCAACCACCATGGCTGAAGCTTCCTGCTGCAGCTCCTTCACTGGTAAGCCACCAAGCCGAGCCTTCAACTCCTCCCTAGCTAGGTCCCCTTCGAGTGATGGCAGGTAGGTGGCATTCTCATCCTCCAGCCCCTTCTTTCTCAGCTTCATTTCATACAACCCCTGATTTCTGTTCCCTTCTGCAACCACCTTCCAATCCTCATTGAAAACCCACAGCTTCCCCTTGTCACTGAAGGTTTTGCACCCAGTGCTGTCAAGTTGAGTTTGGCTGATCAGATTCAGTGACAGCTTCTCCACTAAAAGCACATTCTCCAGTTTCAGCTCCCCGTACTCTCCCTGGAGCAGCAACTCTCCTTCCCCCTTCACACTCAGTTTCCCTTCATCGCCCAATAGAACGTAGGGAACACTAGACTCCCTCAATCCAGTAAGCCACTCACGATGATTGGTCATATGTTGCGTGCAGCCACTATCCATGAACCACGCAGCTTCACCAAACCCCTTTGCCATCAAACACAATCCAGATGCCCTTGCCACGTTTGCCTTGTGAGCTCCCCCCAAAATTACGTCCGCCTCACTGTTTTCAGCTTCCACTGCATTTGCTTTTGCTGCTGGTGGTTGATTCTGCTGCTGGTTTGCCCCTCGGTAATTCCTGCTGTTCGGGTTCGAGTAGCAGTTGGCTGCCCTATGCCCAATTTTCTGGCAATAGTGACATGCCCCTGAAAATCCGCCTCTCTGCATCTTATTATCGCCTCGAACCTCCCCCTCTCTCTGCTGCCCTCCATTTTGCAGGCCCCTTTGCTGCGGACCGCTCCACTTTCCCTTGAAATTTCTGCTCCTCGGGTTGTCATAGCAGTCTATCTGCTTATGACCCTTCTTCCCACACTGAAAACACACCCCGAAACCTCCGTATCCTTTCCCTGTCGCTGCTGCGTTTACCATAGCATGAGTGACTGGTCCCATTCCGCTCAAGCTAATCTCCTTCCTGAGCCGATCAGCTTTCACCCGCTCCAGGGCTTGGAGCGTCTCCAACAGCTTGGTCATATTCGCGGGTGGGTTGCAGGTTAGGAGCCCTATCTCTGCTTCCCACTCCTTGGGCAGCTCAGTAATGTTGTACCCCATCATTTCTCCTTCAGTTTTAGCTGCCCCCATCGCCTTGAGGTCGTCATTGTACCCCTTTGCTCGATTCATGTAGTCAATGACCCTCTCCCCCGGCTCCATACTCAATAGAAGGAGTTTCTTCCGAATGGCTGCTTTGTTCGTATCCGTAAGCCCAAGGTAAGCAGCTTCCATGTACTCCCAGGCTCGTTCGGCAGAGTTCTCCTCTCCCGCAAATTGATCCAGCCCCATTGCAATGCTGTCAGAAACCGAATGGCACAATTGAAAAAAGGCTTGCTTACTCCTTTTTTTGAATGACGCATTTTCTTCTGGTTTTTCTTTTGCAGATGGTGGGACGCCCTCTCCCATCTCCTTGTCGGGATGATAGTACGGCCAGAGATCGACTTCCTCCGCTCTACGAATGAATTTGAGTCGCCACGTGCTATAATTTTCTCCATGGAACCGTTGGGCCTGGCTAAGCCCAATCGTTGGTTTTGCCGTCAATTTAGCTTGTGCTAGCACTGTTAGGATGGCCTGTAGTTCTGAGCCTCCAATGCTCACAGAGGAGCCCGAACTTGCCTTAGTATGATCTCCCGTCATACTTAATAGATTCCGCCTATCCTTAAAACGCTATAACACGCCTTAAACCAGCTCTGATACCAGCTCTTGAACGTGCGCAGCCTTTAGTCTAGACTATGAAGACTATTTAGAGTCTTAGTAGTATGCATAGTAACCTCTGGCTTCAACTGTGTGAAGGAATTTGATGGAAAACGCCAAGGCAAAAAGTTGAAGTAATTTCATTGAAGAAGGCATACAAAAACAGAAAACACAAAGCAAGTTATAAGCAAAAGGATTTCTGATTTCGCCCTCGTGCCGCGCCTAATTTCGAGCTGAGTTGTACTCGTCTCAATTTCCAAATCCAACCATGCACCGAACGCGCCTCGAGTTCGAAATTCAGACTTCCTTGGACGCGCCTTTGACCCGGCGTGACTTCTCTTCACGTCACTTGAAAGCACGACATTTCAGCCATGTTCTTCTCCATTTCAGCCTACTTCCTCTCCTTCTCTTCGTTTCCCACTGCAGGTCGCGCTGCTACCGTGTTTCTCCTTCCATCGTCCCAACATAGGTAGTCTCTCTTCTTCTTAGGTCCTCGCTTCCCCATAGTCTCAGCTCGTCAAAGTAGGTTTTTCTTAGGTCGATGTAGGTCACTCCAGGTTGTGCTAGGTCGTGGTTAGCCAACCACCGTCAACAGCAGGTGACGCCAGTCCACGCAGAGCACGCCGTGGTGGTGTCGCTGTTGCCCGCCCACACGCGCCACGCCTCCTGCAGCTGTACCAGCGTGCGCACTGCACGCACACCGCCCAGGTGCATGGAGATGGGTATGGGGATGGGGATGGGGATGGGGAGAAACGTGTCATGGAGATGATCGGAGGGACGGGGTGATGGGGGGAACGGGGTGATGGGGGAAACGGGGTGATGGGGGAAGAGTTGCTGGCGGGATGAAGGGGGAAACGGGGAGGTGATGGTAATGGGGATAATGGGGAACGGGGATACTCAGGGTAATCGAGATACTGGGGAAACGGGGAGTAGTGATGCACCAATGCATGGTGCATTGAGATGCAACAATACACTCGCTCCCAATGCCCCACTGCGCACACCCACTTCCACTCACTCCCAATGCCCCACTGCCAATGCGCCAGTCTTCCCCTCCACCAACCTCACCTCATCCCCACTACTCATACTATGACGTTCCTAGCACCACGGGCCTCTCCGCAGCAGCGGCGGCGGCGGTAACTTCAACCCGCAAAAGCGTGCGGCGATCCCGCGCGCCGCCTTGGCTCCCCCCGCCTTCTCTGTGGTTACGCCAGGAGCTCGAATTCCCCCAGGCGACACCGAGGAACTCGAGCCACGCGCCAAGAGACGGCTCCGCCGCATGGCGGAGCAGAGAAGGCGCGCGCAGGCGGAGGTTGCCGCGCGGAGGGGGGGGACGGTGGCGAGGGTCGAGGCGGCGAGGGGGGGAGGGCAGGGGTGGGGGCGCGACGTTGCGAGTAAAGCAGTCGGCGGCGGCGGTGAGGATGAGAAGAGGTACGAGGAGCAGGCGCGCTGCGGCCACCGGCACGCGCGGGGACAAGAAACCGGTGCTTCTACTGCCGCGGCGGCGGCGGCCCGTCAAGCTCTCCGGGGAGTGAGAGCTGGTGGCGGCGCGCCGTGCACTACAGCTGCCAATGAGGCTGGTAGTAGCGCTACTCGTAGAAGAACTACTTCTTCTGGGGATGCTGCTGTCGAGCACGTGTGCAGCGCCGCTTGTGCTACTAGCCGGGAGAGTGATAGTAGTAGTAGCGCGGGTGCGGCGAAGATTGAATGGTGACGTCATGGAGGGAGAGATTGGTGAGCGAGAGGGTGAAGAGAGTGAGGGGGAGAGAGAGACGCAGTCCGGACGTCGGTCGCTCACGCTCACGGTCAAACGTGACGGGTCGACGAGCCGATTGGCAATGGTGCACACGCCGCCGCCGTTGGTCGCGCACTGCGTGAGGGAGTGTGGCGACCTCGATTAGTACAGTCGTAGTACGAGGCCGTCGCCCTCGGCGTGCGGCGGCTGGGACCCGGAATGCATCAAGTGGTACTCGCTTGAATCCGGGCGTTGTACTACTACAGTAGTCGGCGCTGCGACAGTCCGGCGGAATCACCTCACTTGAAGTTTGTTTTCGCGCAGTCTCTCAACGTCCAACCAACCCCGCCACTGCACTCCAACTTGTTTGTGCTACATTCACGTACTCCCATCCCATTCCTAGTGGAGGAAATGAAACGAAGCAAATCTGATGAGAGAGCTCAACTGACAGGTCCGTCCAGGCATGAAGGCATGTTGTCACTTCACGACGAGGACTCACACAAACAACCACACTTCACTACACACAGTCCTCGCCAATTTCACGCCCCGTCAGTTTTTCCTTAAAGCCAAACTGACCTTATTTGGCTATAGGGGGTAAGACACCCCCGAACTAGAGGCTATCCGAGGCATTGTTTTTATTTTTTCTTTTCTTTTTTTTTGGCAATGCAAGTTACATTATAACAGCGCATACAAGCATTAACAGTCGTAACTGTAGCTGATGGGCCTAGACAACACCCTGCCGTCGTACCCATCCTGACAACTTAAGGGGGATGGAAAATCGTGCGTGGATTGGCCCAGATGGAGGTGAAGCCATCAATCCACGCAAGCGATTCTGCCGAGCTGTCACAGACTCTACTTACCAGCCGAAATTCGTCTGGATCCAACCGTTCCAGGATAGAACGTTGCCCCGGCCATAGCATAACTCCTACCCATTTACTCCTCTTCTTCGCCCGAAGATAGATCCTTGTGTGGGTGTAGAAAGCGGCTGCAATCCTTCGTAATACCCACCTGCACCGAAACCGCCCTCTCTCAAATGCCGCGTCACACCTTTCCACCCATATCTTATGCAAAGCAATGGCTGTGGTTGTGGATTCTGGGAAGCCCGAGCTCGAGCCTTCCTTCTGAAACAGTAAGTCCCCCAACGAAGTGATTTTCCTGCCCGGGTTGATGATCTGAAGAGCCTTTAACAGCCCCCGCACCACTGGCTGAATCCTAGGGCAGCGGAACAAACAGTGCTCCGCTGTCTCCTCCTCCCCACAGTGCTGGCATGCCACCCCCTCCAGGAATTTTAGCCGCACCCCGACTTGGAGATTACGACAATGCAGGCAAAGCAGAACATCCCGGGCTCGGTTCGGAAGCACCGCGGAGTCCCGCACCGTGATGACCCTCTTCCAGTCAATCACACTTCCCCACTCATCCGACCACTTCTCCTGCTGCTGCATCACCCCTTGCTGCGCGCCAAAAAGCAACCTCAGCTGTTTGAGGGGGGGGACCTGATCCTCCATGCAGAGCTCTGAGCAGCACAGCCGTACCTCGTGGAGGCCACCCGCTCCAATCACCCTTCCGCCCCTCACCATCAACGGCTCCACCTTGTCCAGGGGGAGAACCGCAGTTGTCTCCGCCACCCCCACCAGGGGCACGCCAAACTAGTCACACGCTTGGCAGGCAAGGCCATCCTGCACCACTTTCTCCGCCTTCCAGGCACCCGCCAGGCCCTTCTTCTTCACGAAGGCCGACTCCGCTAGGAACTCTTCCCCCGTGATTGGCGCTATCAATTTCGCCTTCCAAGCGGACGGGACGCACGCAAAAGCCCTGAGCGCCCTCCTTGCTTTCTTGCGTGTGCCCAGTTTTTTGTTAGCAGCTTCTCATCCTTGAAGAAGAAACCGCCGTCTTTCGCTTGGCCGACAAAATCGCCGAGTTTCAAAAGTTCCAGCCCTTTCGCCGCTTCCTGCCGCCCAAGCGGTTTCTTCCCGTTCGGCAGGATTTGCCGATTAAACACCAGCGGCTCTTGTGCGATGTCCCAGCGAGAGAGCGGACCTTTCTTCGCGATGCTTGACTGCATAAACATTTCACAAGTTTGCTTCCATCTGACGCTCCTTCCCTTCCATGTTTTCAGGAACTCCGGATGCGCCCAGAAGGAACGGAAGCCCGCAGGGAGGTCAGCCGCCTTTGTAGCCAACCAACTGCGCACCCCTCTCCTGACCAACACCAGCTTCCCCACTCTCCTGGCCGCCAAGCCGCTGAGCTCAACGAAAGGATCTCATACCCCCAACCCTCCGTCCTTCCAAGGTCTGAAGATCAGTTCCCTGCTCCAAAGCATAAAATGCCGCTCCGCCGATGCCTTGTTGCCAGAGATGAAGTTGACCAGCAGCTTCATGATCCGCTTCCACACGCTCTCTGACGGAGGGTAAACCTGCCCTTGAAACTCCAGGTTTGGGCAGACGTAAGCGTTAACAACCGCTACTCTCGCCGTCGTGGTTAAGTGGTGCGACTGCCACTTCACGAGCTCCTCCGCCGCCCTAGCCAGCGCCTTATCCCAGGTAACTTCCGCGCTTCTAGAGGGGGAGACCCAAACACCCAGAAGTCTCTCCGCGTCTTTTGGATTCACCCACGCGAAGTCTGAACTCACGCTTCTCGTCTCTTTCAGGTTAGCCCCTAGTGGGAGTAGCGCCGACTTGTCTTTGTTGACGCGGAGGCCGGACCGAGCTCCGAACTCCTCCAGCAGTTCCTCCGCTCTCTCAATCTGCCTCTTCCCTTTCAACACAAGCGTCGTGTCATCCGCGTAACCGAGGTAAGCCAATCTGTCGCCGTGGTGATCATTGATGCCTAACTTCCTGGGTTTTGCCTCCTGGCAGATCGGTTCCACCGCGCACAAGAAGAGGTAGGGGGCCAGAGGACACCCCTGCCGAACCCCCTTGCGGACGTCCACCCGGTCCCCCAGCCACCCGTTCACCAGCAGACGAGTGAAGGAACCATCATGCAGCCCCTCGCACCACCGGATGAACTTGCTCGGGAATCCCATCAGCGCCATCGTGTCAAACAAGAACGAACGCGACACAGAGTCGAATACCTTCTGAAAATCGATCATAAGCAGGTACCAGTCCTCCTTGTCATTGTTTGCAGCTTCTATCACATCCGCAACTGTTGACACCGCGTCCGAGAGCCGCCTGCCTGGAAGGAACCTGTGCTGCTCCTCCGAGATGACCGTGCCTAAAACTTGCTTCATGCGGTTAGCCAGCAGCTTCGCAACCACCTTGTAGCAACTTGACAGTAGGGTAATCGGTCGATAATTATGCACCTGCTCCCTTGGCCCCTTTTTGTATAGCAGGATGGTCACCACCTCCTGCACTTCCTCCGGAAGAACCGCTGAGGATTCGAACTGTTTAATGAAGCCCATGAAATCCTTCCTTAGCAGGTCCCAGTGGCGCTCGAAGAGCTCCTTCGGTAAACCGTCACCACCTGGGGATTTATCACACGCCATCTCCTTCAACGCCTTTTTCACTTCTTCCTCTGTCCAGTCAGCCTCAAGCTCCTCTTTTTCCCGATCCCGCAGCGTTTTCGGCATGTCCGGTTTCTAGCATGGTAGACCCGACGAAGGAGCTTCCGCAAAGAGCTCCGCGTAAAAGCAGGAGGCGGCTTCCAGAATACCCCTCGTGCCTCTCTGCTCCACCCCTTGCGAGGTCAAAACCGTGATTATCGTCCGCGTCTTCTTCGACTTCACTTTCGCCGAGATAACTCCTGACGCAATCTCACCCTTTGTTTCCTCCTTTATCCCCGCCAAGAGGTGCAGCCTGTCATTCTCCCCTTTCAGGTACGCCGCCAGCTGCGATTCTCTCTCCGCCAGAGTCACTCGAAGATCGTCGCGCAGGGGGTTCCTCATCAGCTCCTGTTGCAACCCGGAAACTGCAAGTTCCAGGTGCCTCAAGGTTGCTCGTATCCGCTTCCGTTCCTCCGCCGCATAACGCCTTAGCGCCGCTTTGAGCTTAGTGAGGAGACCGCCAAAATTGCCTGATGCTTCCGCATGGTGTCTCTCGACGACTGCTTTAATCACCCTCTCTACTCCTGGTTTTGCCGTGTCCGCAGATGGCAGCCGCCAGATGCCTGGACCCATGTGCAGCCTCAGGCTCGCTTGCAGCACCACCCTTACACCGCATTTGTGGTCCGATATGCCATTCAGCGACCGAGTGTGAGCCGCCTCCACCACCGAAGGGATGAGTTCCGCTAACACCAAGATTCGGTCAATCCTGGAGCTTGACTTCGTCGCCTTCGCATAGAATGTGTATTCACGGCCACTCGGGTTGAGCGTCCGGAACGCATCTACCATGTGCAGACCGTTGAACAACTGCAGCAACCTGCCATTTTCCCCGGACGAACCCTGGGGACTTGTCCAGGTCAGGGTCCTCCACAACATTAAGGTCCCCGGCCAGCATCAGCTTGCCACTGCAGTTCAGCCCAGACAAGAACGGGCCCAGCACGTCTCTGAAGAAAGCAACTCTGCTACACGCACTCGCTGGAAGGTATGCCGCCAGAATCGCAAAGCCGAAAGTGTCCCATCTTACTTTAGTATAAATGAGCCTCCCTGAGGCGTGCGTCGTGACCTTCTCAAAATTTAACTGCTTATTGTTGCTGACAATCGCCACTCCACCAGCCCTCTCCACATTTGCCACTGCCAGGCAGTGATGGAATTTCAACCGCTTCCAGAACTCGTGGTCCAGAGCAACCCTCGTGTCCGCAAGAACGTATATGTCTGCTTCCTTTTTTCTCCACTTTTTCAGATTCCGTTGCTTGCGTCTACTCCCGAGCCTATTAACATTGAGCTCGCACACCGACAGCTTGCAAGCCTTATCCATTAATCAACCAGGTGGGAGCCCCATAGTATCCACGGGCTGAAGGAAGACATCTGAAACAGAGCAAGTTACCACTATATCTCATTGCATACATGACATGTGAGCACTGTACTAACAGGAACATCTCGCATCCTCTCCCCCTTAAATCCCGTACTCCTTGCGCAGCACACGGAGATTCAGCTTGTCCTTGAGTACATGCGTGGCAGCACCCTGATTCCCCAGCCCTCCCCGATGGCGCTGGGAAAGCGCATGATGCGCAGCCTGCTCGAAGGAGGAACCTTTCGCCTTCTCGCAACACTCCAGCAGGCAGACCCATTCCTCCCTGTTCCCTGCCGTTGAGACCAGCACCAGCACGGGATCCTTGAGGATGATCTTGGTTGTCGTTGTGGCTACAGTCGCAGCCACTGCACGGGTGGGAGATACGCAGCTGGAAATCAGAAACCGCCAAGAGCAGGAATGAAGCGACAGCACGAGCAGTAAAAACAGGTAAGTACGAAACACCGTCTCTACCATTGAGCTGCTGGATCCTCCCCACTGTGAGGTTCCACTTGGAGATGTTGTTCTGGCGCTCTGTAATGAAATCGTTATGATTATGCACGGAGTGCATTCCCCCGCAGAGCGAACACTTTAGGGCCGGGTAATGCACCATGATCTTCGCTCCAGGTGAGATTGGACTCTCGAACCGATGCAGCCACCGAAACTGATCATTCTCATGAGCGACCACCAATCCCTTCACCCGGTCAGTGTCCAGCCCCGAAACAGGGTGCACCACGCGATGGAAGTGAAAACCCTCCTTGAAGGCCGGACGCTTGCAGATCTTCAGCGGAGAGATGGCGAGCGCCTCATGCAGCATCTCCGGGGAGATCTCCGCAGCAACCCCGAGAAACAGCACCTCAATAACAGCCGGATCAGTGATCTTCCTCCTTGTGTACCCTAGATCCTCCAGATAAAGCCAATCCAGGATGATGTACTCCCATCAACACATCGATGCTCAACACGGTTGCGCCAGACAAAGTTAGCGTCAGAGGCATTGACGAAAATAACTTGCATGCGACCGGAAAACCTCTTTGCAGTAAAACCAGGGTCCAGTTCCTAGAAAGTTGTCTTCACTGCGTGTTCCGTGAGCTCATTCCCCCAGATCCCCAGCAGCTCCTTGACGGTCGCCTACGTACGGCGGACCTCCTGCAGATGTTCACTCGGGATCAGCAGCGTAAGCGGGAACCGAAGCTTCGCCGCCAGATCCTCCTTCGCCTTATCCTTGAAGCACTCCTTCGGGTCATGCGCCTGAAGGTCATCATCCTCATCATCCATGAAGTTGACGCGGCGTGCAGCGTCAGGTGCGTCCTGATCCTCATCACCAGCAGCATCATCTTCCGCGTCTGACACAGCATCCTTGAAATCCGTGTCCTTCGCCTTGCCTTTATCTGCTTTCCCACCAGCAGCCTGCTCGATCCGGAGAGCCGTGAGCTTAGCAGACAGCGTTAGCGACTCAAAGTCATCCTCCGCAAACAGAGTGCGTGACGACTTCAACGGAACAGCCGTAACAGATGCAGGGCGAGCCGACGGACCAGCAGCAGGAGTCTTCAGCGTAGCAGCAGCAGCAGCAGCGGCATCATCAGTGACCATCTTGTTAGCTGGCTTAACAGGCCTCGCTCTGGGAGGCATGGCGTGATGATGAAAGAGCCACCACAACCAGCAAAGTGCTGGAGAAGAAAGCACTCTGAGCGCCTTAAATCCACCCGCGAAGCGAGCCTGTGAAGCCTTATTGTCAAATCCTTGAAACTGGTTGCTTGGAGTATCTCCATTGTCATGGTTGTTGAGAACAGGTTGCTGGAAGCCTTGATAACCACGCGCTGACTCAGCTGCTTGTAAAACACCTAGATGAAGAACATAGAGGTTAGGCACTGGATCCAGGCGAGAGATGACCTTAGGGAATGTCAATGCAATGTCCGCTTTATCGACACCAAAATAATATCGACGTGCTCCCTGTGATAAGGTGATTCACTTAAACCGGTTATTAGCGTCTCTAACACCCTGGAGCACCAACATTGGTAGCTCCGAAGTTCCAGGTGGCAGCCATGGCGGTCTCAGGCGGAGAGTCATTGTCATTGTCATTGTCCGAGGCATTGTGACGTTTCGATGTTTGCCCCTTCTGTCATTGAGACCGCAACGCAAGGACTGAATCTTCCATTGCGACGATGTTTCTTTTGTATTTCCACTAACTCATGTGCGTAGTCTCAGTCGTTGCTTTCTTTAAAGCCAAAGTGTTTGAAACAACCCTCAAACTCGGGTAAATTTAAAACGAATACACAGGGGGGTAAAATTGGCCATAGTGAAGTTGGCAAGGACTTGGTGTACCAAAACTGTACTCACGGCACGGCACGGGTCACTCCCTCACTCACGATGACGTGTTCTTGCAGCACTGTCCGTGTGCTTGAACCAAGCCCGAGCGAGCTACAGTATAACCACATGGTGGGTGTGTGTGTGTGGCTGTGAAGGAATGAGAGCACTGAGCAAGCATGTGAATGTCGCGTCGCGTGGATAAGGAGGATCCACCAGCGCCACTTACTGGCCCGTCCCACCCTATGCAATTTTATGGGGTTAATATACGAATGGTCACTATAAAGGACGCGCTATCAAAAATTGTCACACGGCTACCTTGAACGGTCACAAAATCTAGATCTTTATCACGGATGGTCACAGAATCAGGTTTAAACGTTTCGAAAGTGGTCGCGAACTTTGTTGATAAGTAGCGGTTGTAACTCATGTATTTTCAACTTTTCGTTGACAATTTCATTGTGTGATTATACGCGATAGAATTTTGAGGCAACGTGTGACTATTCGTGATACATCCCTAGATTCCGTGACCATCAGCGATAGCCCATATACATTTTTTTGTATGCATTAAGAACATCATCAGTCGTAACAATATAAATAGGGGAAGGCTGTCACACATATATGCTATAGCCTATGTAGGTTGTAGTGGGGTAGACAATAGGGAGTACTGATATTCTAGGGTTTCATACTTGTACCCCACACATTCCTAGTCAATTCATTCCTCGGTATTTCACATGGTATAGAGCAGGTTCCCTAGTGGGAACGTTTCCTAGGGCCCACCACTAAAACGATTTTTTTTTTCCTTACCTGCCCGGAGCGCGCTTCGCGTCTGCCCTAGTCGCGCCCCGTGCGTCTGCCCTCCTGTCGCGCCCCTTAAGGCCCCTTCGCGGCCCCTCTCACCGCCCTTCGCGGCCCCTTTCACGGCCCTTCACGGCCCCTTCGCGGCCCTTTGCGGCCCCTTCGCGGCCCTTCGTGGCCCCTGTCACGGCCCTTCGCGGCCCCTTCGCGGCCCCTCGCGGCCCCTTTGCGGCCCCTTGCGGCCCCTTCTCGGCCCCTACGCCGCCCTTCGCGGCCCCTCCGCGGCCCATCGCAGCCCTTCGCGGCTCCTTCACGGCCCCTCCGCGGCCCCTTCGCGGCTCTTCGCGGCCCCTTTGCGGCCCCTCCCCGGCTCTTCGCGGCCCTGCCGCCCCGTAGTCGCCGCCCCAGCAGTAGCTGCCGTCGCGCCTGCTGCCGCTGCTGCTTCCTCCACGGCCGGTCGCCGCCGCCGCTCCTGCCGTGACAGCCGCCGCCGCTCCTGCTGAGACAACCGCCGCTACCACTTCCGTGACAGCCGCTGCCGCCGTCCCGGCCCTACCCTGCAGCCGAGGCGCGGCCCCTTCTCTGCCGCCCTGTCGCGGCCCTGTTCCTGCCGGCGCACCTCGGCCCTGCCCCACCGCTTGTGGACCTCTACCCGCCCGCCCCTGCAGCTGCCCCTGCAGCAGCCGCCCCTGGCCCCTGAAGAAGCCGCCTCTGCAGCAGCCGCCCCTGGCCCCTGGAGCAGCCGCACCTGCAGCAGCCGCCCCTGGCCACCAGAGCAGTCGCCCCTGCAGCAGCCGCCCCTGGCCCCTAGAGCAGCCGCCCCTGGCCCCTGGAGCAACCGCCCCTGGCCCGTGGAGCAGCCGCCCCTGGAGCAGCCGCCCTTGCAGCAGCCGCCCCTGGCCCCTAGAGCAGCCACCCCTGCAGCAGCCGCCCTTGGCCCCTGGAGCAGCCGCCCCTGCAGCAACCGCCCCTGGAGCAGCCGCCCCTGCAACTGCCGCGGAGCCCTTGCCCTGCAGTGGTAGCGGCCTCGCTGTTGCCGCCATCGTACGTCTGCCATTCTCGCCACTGGTGAGCACTGCCCTGCCCGTATTGCTATTACTACTGCTCTTGCTACTACTGCTCTTTCTACTGCTATTGCTGCTCCTGGCGTGGCCAGATGCAGCTCCAGCGCCGTCCACGTGAGTCCCTCACGCCCCAACAGCTTCGTGAGTGGTACGCTAGTGGTTGTAGGGGTGGCCGCACTGCAACTACTGCTACTGCTGCTACTGCGGCTACTACTGCTACTGCTGCTACTGCGGCTACTATTGATACTGCTCCTCCTGGCAGTGGCCAGCTGCAGCTCTAGCGACGTTCGCGTGAGTCCCTCCCGCCCCAGCAGCTTCGTGAGTGGTACGCTAGTTGGGGTTGTCGGGGTGGCTGTGGTGGGAGTCTACCTAGAGTAAGTAGTTCGGGAGCTTCTTGTAGTTGCCAGGTGCACCGTCGTCCGCGCGAGACCCTTTCGCCCCAGCAGCTTCGCGAGTGGTACGCTCAAAGTAGAGGGTTACTGAGTAGTGCTCGCTGCCCATACGTCATTTGCACGGGAGTCTGGACTGGTCGGCCTTGCGGGACTCCTGGTCACACAGAGTCCCGCTGCTTCGCCTGTCTGGGCGACGCTTGGCGTACAGAGTCTGGCGACGACGCTGAGCTCCCCTCTTGGCTGGAGCTGCTTAGGCAGAGGGTATATATCTTTGCTCTTGACTATGACGCTCTTCTCACTGCAATGTATGCATTGTCTACTAGTGCTGAGGGTGCCTGTCACCTGTGTGTGCCGCCTGACCCCGGTATCCAGTCTACTGCTCTAGGTGCTGGTGAGGCTGGTGCTCTAGGTGCTCGTGCGTCTCCTGCTCCAGGTGTCGGTGAGGCAGCTGCTCTAGGTGCTAGTGAGTCTCCTGCTCCAGGTGCTGGTGAGTTTGCTCTCTTTGGTGCTGCGCCTGCTGCGGTCTTGCACACCTTCACCCTTGACTCGGGTGCTTCCCGCTCCTTCTTTCGAGACCGCACCACCCTCACGCCGCTTAGTCGGCCGATAGCAGTCTCCCTGGCAGACCCCTGTGGGGGTCCTGTCCTTGCTCACTACTCCACTGTCCTACCGTGTCCGGCGGCCCCGTCTGGCTCCCTGTCAGGTCTCTACCTCCCCTCGTTGTCTACAAACTTGGTGAGTGGTGCTGACCTGCAGGATGGAGGGGTTGACCAGTTCACTCCCGCGAGTCAGCGAGTGACCCACTGCACGTGTGCTCGGCCGGGCCGACACTTGGCCACGTTTACCCGTCAGCCGGGGTCGAGCCTGTACAAACAGACGACTGAGTCTCCTTCGGTTACTGCGTCTGGTCAGGTTGCTGCATCGGGTCAGGTGTCTGCTGCAGCGTCTCGGTCTAGTCCTGAGTCTGCCCCCTGCTCGTGTCGCCTCCTGTCCCACCAGACTCTCCTCTGGCACCACCGCCTTGGTCACCCCTCCCTGCCTCATCTCCGAGGCATGGCCTCCCGTGTCCTTGTCTCTGGTCTCCCGAGGTCCCTCCCTCCCCTTCCTCCGGGGCCTGCCCCTACCTACGTTCCATGCGTCGAGGGACGGCAGCGCGCCGCTCCTCACTCCTCCGAGTTTCCTCCGACAGAGGCTCCGCTGCAGACTCTCCACATGGACGTGTGGGGCCCTGCCTGCGTCCGTGGACAGGGTCATGAGCGTTACTTCCTACTGGTGGTTGATGACTACTCGCGTTACACCACAGTCTTCCCCTTGCGCCGCAAGGGTGAGGTCACTGAGGTGTTGATCGATTGGATCCGCGCTGCTTGTCTCCACCTCAGAGAGAGTTTCGGCTCAGATATTCCTGTTCTGCGTCTGTACTCCGACAGAGGTCGAGAGTTTTCCTCCGACCTTCTGCGAGCCTTTTGTCGTGCGGAGGGCATCCGCCAGACGATCACGCTTCCGCCCTCTCCACAGCAAAATGGGATTGCTGAGCGCTGCATTGGCATGGTCATGGACGTCGCTCGTACGTCCATGATCCATGCGGCTGCTCCCCATTTTCTGTGGCCGTTCGCGGTTCAGTACGCGGCGCATCAGATCAACCTTCAGCCCCAGGTCTCCATGCCGGAGACCTCCCCTGCTCTGTGGTGGACAGGGAAGGTTGGCGATGCGTCTGCGTTCCGTGTCTGGGGATCTCGAGCTTTCGTCCGCGACTTGTCTGCGGACAAGCTGTCCTCTCGTGCTGTTCCCTACGTCTTCCTTGGCTTCCCCCCAGACGCACCTGGTTGGCAGTTTTACCACCCTACCTCGCGCCGTGTTCTGTCCTCTCAGGACGTCACGCTTGACGAGTCAGTTCCCTACTATCGTCTCTTCCCCTACCGCACTGCTCCCATTCCCCCCCCGCTGCTCCTCCTTGCGCCAGGTCCCCCCCCCGGTAGACCCCCTCCCCCCCCAGGGTCCTGCTCCCTCAGGTGTGTCCTAGGTAGACGCGGTCGAGCGTGTCGAGGTAGCTGTTGACTCTGCTGCTGCTAGGGGT